GGACGCCATTGAAAGGGCTGGCTAACGTGGCTTGCCATGTAAGCAGCGTTTTTCTCGCTTCTTATTCTTGGGTCGATGCCACGCGAACGCTCGGTTACACGTGAAATTGATCGGATATCTGGAACGGCAAAAACCCCGTTTTTGCTTCATTTTGACCATCTTCGCGACGGTCGTATCCATGTTACAGTCTATCGAAAATCCTGGCAAAGTTACACAACTAAAATCGTAACCATTACATGGTTGATATTCGAACATGTTATACACATCTTTGTTAAAAGAGGACTCCAAAGCAGAGTTCAGAAAATATACAGATTGCGAGCATTTTGAAATGATTTCTTAAAAAGTAATATATGTGGCAGAACAGTGTTCTTTATCGTAACAATACTGGGGACTCTAAAGGATAACTAAAATTCGGTCCTGTTTACACAAAATAATATCTGGTTTATTTGAGCGAACACAAATGTTTGCATTAGCGTTTCATTGATTGAAACTACTGGTTATATTCGAGCTGCACCAAACGGCAGAATGCACGAACTACACAGACGCATGTCTGTTTGCACTCTAACCGTATTAGTTTCCGGTTTTCTTCGATGTTTGCATTCGTGATATCCGCTCGCTCCGTGCTAATACGTTGTGCCGATGATTTCTCACGGGAACATCGGCAACGCTTCAAGATTTATGCTCGTATTGGTGTTTTCCCACCGATACTTCGATATTCTTCTCTTCGAAATCAAATTCGTACATGATGAATGTAAATGTTGTTATTCCAACAAAATGTTCGTTATTCGATTTCGATTCTATATATTTGAAGAGGAAACTAGTTTATTGGAAACAATTGTTTTTATCCCGATTGTTCTATAATTGAAAAGCGGAGTTACAAAAATGAAAAATTATATTTTCGTACGTAGTTTCTGAATTTGTAATAAAATAATGTATTGTAGAATTTAATAGAGATTTATATAGGTTGCTGTAGGAGTTTAATACGCGATGCAAAATATCGGCGTTGTTTTTCAACAAGATCTCGCTTGTAAACGCTTGAACGTCACTCGTTCGATTACCTTTCGATCCTCCGAGCGGATTTTATTAACAGAAAGAACTCTCTGGGCAATTTAAACGGTACACGTATGCTCGTGCACCATGCAAATTGTGTGCGCTGGCCTTAAAAACATCACACCGTGCCTTCGATACTGGTACGCCTCGTTAAACTATCGATTTCATCGGGTGGGCACAGCCTGCAAGTAACTTCGCGGAACGAGCGGCTAAAAAAATCTTGTACACGAACGTTTTCCCGTAATAATTCGATTAACCCGTCCAGATACGATCGCGTCCGCAAAATATTGGCCGGATGAACGTCCGAAACGATGCTCGAGACGGGTCGTATCGAGGAATCGAACGACCCGTTTCGCGCCACGTGTTTACCGCTGCTTCTACTCGTCGACGACGTGTAACAAACCAGCGAAGCAGCGAAAAAATTGGATTAAAAAAAGACCACAGGCCGTAGAACGAGCAGCGTATTTTTTTTCACGCTATTTAGGTTTCGCGGATGACTCGCCATTACGAAGAATTACGTCGAATGTGAAATCGCTGACGCGATAGCTGGTTGAAAGGTGGCTTCGTTGGTTTAACGAATATTCCAGGCCTCGTTCGCGCGATCGTATTTTTTCTCGGAAAACTCTGCACAATCACGGATGCTGCCGTCAGCATTCATTTTTACACGAATTTCCCGCGTTACACCACTCTGTGCTGGTTTTGAAGGATCGTCTCAATTTTGGGAGCAACCATCAAACGATTCGACCCAATTCATTTAAAACCTGTGGATAGTACCTCTGCAATTTATATAGATATGTAGATGCTTTAATGTATAACCGTGTGCATTTTTACAAATTGAAATCAGTCGCAGTAATAAAGCGTGTCCTTTGAACTTTTTCGTAATAAAAAATCTTCCGAAATAATTGAACGGAAGAATGTCAGGGAATGTCGGTGCATTTTTGGCGATTCAGAAGAGTCGTATAACGTCGTATTCGCGTTATGCAGCACATATGCATCAACGCGAGGGGAACGCAGAAAATGATTCAGATGAAAGCATTCGTGGAATATTTGGGGCTGATAGCAACGAGACAAGAACAAGCCGTTGAACGTGCATACGAATGGAACAATGCATACCCTGATTGCGAGCTACGAACAGGAATTTGTTTTATTTGAAAAATCGCGCCTTGGCGAGAGGCATTCTTTAAAATTGAAACTAATGCCCAACTTTCCTTGAAAATATTCAAAGCAGCTACCATTAATTTTTATACGTGCTTAACCTTTTAATAATCCCTTGCTGAAGAGGAACATAAAAGAGTCTGTTTATGCTGTTAAAATTTAAAGCTGATAAGCGTAAATAATTAGTAGGTGCATTTTACTGTTTTATGAAATTCGAACAAGTGGGAATTAAACATGAAAACCGCGACAAAATTTGCAACGAATAAGACACGAGCTAATAATTCCTGCACGAGCAGAAACTCGACGTAGCGCAATCGCGGCAAATTATAAATGGCAAGCTTCAAAGCTATTTGCCGCCCAAAGTTTTAAGTAACGAAGCTTATCGTTATCCATTGACCTCGATTTTGGGAGGAGTTCATGACTGTCGAGCAACTTGAAGCGAGCAACAAACGCTCGTCATAATTCTACGCTCGAAACTTCTAGTGGTACACGTCAATAATTTCGGCCACTTCGAACTTTCTAACAGTCGCATCAGCCGCTACCCGTTGGTCGAGATTTTGTTATGACAAACACTCGCTTTGAACAACTGAGCACTCAATAATATACAGTACTCATGGATATGTCACTCGATATAGAAACCCTTTACTTTTTCGTATTCTTTGAAAAAGTGAATAGAAACATTGTCACTTGTCAGTAATTTCATAAGTGCGGATTGTCATCGAGTTAAAGTTTGCAGAGTGAAAAGATGATGCTAATTAGCATATTAAACTTGATGGTGCGTCACGAGGGCGCATATTAGCGTCACTCGATATATCACCCTTTAATTTTTCCATACACGCATTCTTTCAAAAAATGAATGAAAACATTATCACTTGTCAGTAATTTCTATAAGTGCGGATTGTCATCGAGTTAAAGTTTGCAGAGTGAAAAGATGATGCTAATTAGCATATTAAACTTGATGGTGCGCCACGAGGGCGCATATTAGCGTCACGTCTTTAGCGTATTATCCATAACGAGCACGTTTTGTCACAATATCGTTAGAGCAAGAGGGTTAAGTTCATTAACGTTTGCTTCACCGACTCCTAAAATCTGCAAGGAATAGATTGTTGCTTACTTCCCGAGAGTTCACTTGTACTCTAACGTCGAGTTTCATTTTTAAAACTCAGAAAAGCTCGCTTTTGATATTACAAGGACTTTCCACCGTGGCATTTTATCTTGAGTTTCTTAAGAAGCTCGTTTAATTCTCCATTTAAAACATCTTGAATGAACGCGAATCAGAAGTTTGTAAAATTGTATCTGCAGCAGCAAAAAGCAGGAAGCTTACGTAAACGAAAAGGTATCGAAGTGCTTGAATGCGAGGGTGTATACAGCCATTTGAAAGCATCAAAGTTTAATACTTTCACGGAGACTATTACCTCTTATCTTAAGCTTTCAAAGCTTTCAAGCCGCGAAATTTCTAAATTAGAAGCTTGTAAATTTGAAAATTACCGAGGAAAGGAAGCGACGAAGCGTATTCCCGTACGTCGTAATTTTTAGGAGAAAAAAAACTGACTGTACTCGGTCACCTGCTTCTGAAGCGTCGTTTCTCAAATGGCGGAAGTTTAAAGGCTGTTCGTGAACGGTGGTCCAAGGATTGAAAAGAACGCGGTTCGACGTTTGGTAAGCAGAAGCGAGTTGCGAACAACTTCCGTCACAAGAGGAGTCTAATCGCGGCGATTGGACTCGCAGAGTTTCATGAAGTTAATCCGGCAAATGCAAGCAAGACGGTCCAAGTCGGACAATAATCCGAACGAAGCCTTGCACGCTCTCTCAAACAGTCCATTAAAGGTTGAATCCCGCTTCGGGTTCGAACACGGAACCGATGGACGTTTATTGTGCACGGTCCGTCCGCACTTGCGTCGTCGTCGTCGACATTTGTTAAGTCAATAGCAGCTGCCGTCTCTTATCTATTACAGATGTCACCGGCTGACTTTGGGCTTCTGGGTCAATTGCACATTTGGGTCGAGTTAATCGGAAGTAGCGGGACCGATTCTATTTCCTTCTCGCCACGGGGATAAATTAATTAACCGTCCCTTTAGGCACCCTGTTGTTAATGGCCGTTGCTAAGACGATAAATACACCGGTTGTCAACGAATTTTCCACGGAACACGAGATTTTATCACCGTTTATGTTGCATGTTACCCTTTTATGTGTAGGTGTGCGCACACGGCTTGCTATTGTTTGCACACTTTATCGTCGGGATAATTTAATGGCGCGACCCTTCAGAAAATGGAAGAAAATCGGACTCTGTTGGTGGTCCGGGCTTTCCAGTTTACTGCTTGCAACTCTCGAGCTCTGGGTAAACGAGATTCAAAATCACCCTATGCTGATTTCGCCGCGCTCAAAGTTTCTATGCTCTCTGATAACTATACCCTCTATATTCCTATTTCCATATACAACTCTGTATCCATAGTTTCTTACCAAATCTTTACACTTTACAATCTACGTTCTCATCTTTTCATATCTTTTAATCTTCACATCTGAAAATTCTCTACATGCCCACATTTCTAAAGTCCTAGAAGTTCACATCCCTAACAACTTCGTTTAAAATATCGTCAACGTGGAATGAAAATTTCAAATAACTCGTGAACGTCTAATCTTATAATTACTCGAAATATTTCGAATGAATCGTCTCGTAAAAAGGAATGAAATACCTCGAAGAGGAGGTATCAGGGTTCACCGTCGTTCCGACGGCTCGTAAAGTACACATCCTTCAGGCTGGAGAGGTTTTTATCGTGCATTCTGCTTTTATGAAGGAAACGAAAGGACGAATGCCCAGTTTGGACTAAGTGGAATACGAGCATGATGCCGTATCGTCGAACAGACGGGGAGAGGAATCAAGAAAAGGACTATCGCGGCTGAATCATGGAAGAAAGCAATAAAGAAGGTCAGTGATTTATGGACGTAGGTAAAGTATGAAGACTAACGGCATGATTCTTCTTGCCGTGTATTTACATTCGATGCGGTTTACCTGCCATGGTCCGCCATCTATTTTCTGCGATGTTAAAAATTTTTACATTGGAAAATCTATTTAATCAATTTAAAGAACCGAGGGGCGTTTCAAAAGAGTTCTTACCACGGATATGTACAATAATTATTGTCGCAGTGTAACATTTGCACCTTCGGTCGAAAATATCCGAAATAGTTTTGAACCGCCAATTAAATTAATTACTTACGCCATCACCCTGTGAACCAGGTAATTAGATTTAGATGATATTTGCAAAATGGAGGCACACGGTTTGATACATCGTTCAAATGATCCAATCAAATTTATGTACATCCCCTGTACACGCGACACTTGTTTCCTGAACAGTGTTTAATTACCTTCGAAAATTGAACACGTCGCTTTCATTCGGTCCTCTTATAACGTCTGACAGGTTTTGATGTCCCTTGTTTCCATGCAAGTATTTTTGATATTTTCCTCTAAGAAACGTAAGGAGCAGGAAATTGCGTTGCGAAAGGTACACAAAGTGGATCGTGTCGTTAAACGAAAATTACAATGTGCCACACCAGATGCCACGCTGCAGTAATTTCTCTCGCGTAATCTCTGACGAACAATGTATTAGGAATTCCGTGTTCGACTGCAACAAACGCGCCGCACAAATGTCCACCAACTCCACTTTATAATACTGTCATATTGCGAACGATTTCCGATACGCTGACGCATTTATGACACGAACTTTCCACTAAATCGGAACATATTCCATGCCCGGACCGCCCTACTCGAATATCAAGCATCCTGTTTCCGAATTCAAATTCGCCATGTTGGTACACCTGAGCCAAGACTCGCGTTTCAGAAAAAAATTATCACATTCTGCCTTTTGGACTTTCGTCTTTTTCATAGACATATATTACAAAAAAATACTTGATGATTTTGGAGATAGTTCGATGACAAATTTTTTAATAAATTTTCTCATTTGAGGATTTGATGGTTCGTTAAGGACTTGTCTGTTTAATGATTTGTATATTTGGGAATTTTTAAATATTAGCACACGTAAATTTAAAAATGTAAAAGGTTTTTAGGTTTTCAATGATTTGTCTCGTTGTTTAAATGCATACATAGTACGCGTAATTATTATTAACGACAAAGATAATTGTTCGTAAAGCATAATCTAAAAAAACCGCAAATAGTCGGTATTCCGTATGGAATGGAAAGCATTGATATTCAGTAACGGTCGGTAATTGCAGCGTCACAGCTATTCGATTTAATAACAGATGAATTTACGAGGACGATAAATGTTGCTCGGCCCGTTGGGCTCCTTTGACGATCGTACCGTTGTTATTATCAGCGGTTCACGGCTGTTTAAATAAATATTAAATTAAGCTTTATTACGGCCGCGATGGTTACGGTCGCTGTATTCCATCTATCAAAAATATAAATCAACGAGTTTACGCCGCTTTTACGCGTGTACCACTCACGTTATATTTCTGTTGATGTTGTTTCGTAATAAAATTATGCGAAGTGTCCCGTTTCTCGCGGTGATTCTTTCGGAACGTGTTTTCGAGTGCGAAAGAAAACAAGATTTTACGATAAACAGGCACTTTTTTATGCGCAATTATTTTGAGAATGATCAGTGATGTTACATCACGAGGACGTAACGTCGAATTAAGAGAAATATCGAATGGAAACGTTTCGAATCGTGGCATTACGAGATGAAAGACTCGACTAGTTTCCACGAAAGCTAAGTACGATTATTTTCCTTTCAATTAACGCCGAGGAGAGTTTCCGTTTAGTTGGCGGCGCTTTCTCGCCTTTCGATCGCGAAACTCGAGGACACTTCTGAAAAGTGTTGGCCAAGTAAACCGATCCTCGGAACCGTCTATTTCGGTCGTCCTAACATCCTATTAGCCGGGAAACTTAAATTAGATTCGCACGGTTTAACTTTTCACTTTTTGACCGACGAACACGCTCCTTGGACTCTTGGGACAGGCTAAATCCAGCCGTTCGTCGGTAGAAATTATGCGGCGACTGGATTGATTTATCGCCAACGATCTTCGTCGAAGCGGCACGCGAAAAAAAAAATGAACGCCTCTCGTTAGACGGGAGAAACTTTGTTGGAATATTCTTCGTCGTTGGTCGATCCCATCGGACGAATTTCCTTCCGATTCGAGTCGAGATTCGAGAACAAACGTCTCGTCGTGTCGTGCAAGGCTAGAATTTTCCCGTGTAAAATTCGCCCCGGGACGAGGGGAGGGAACTGGTTGCACGGTGTTGATAACAGCGTGCACACGTTGTGCATGCACGTGGTATCCTTAAAGCAAGGCGGGAAACAGCAAAGAAATATGATCGTGTGCTTCGCGTGCACGCCCCACGGTTGCACTTCATGAATTTTCTACCGCTACCCTCTGTGTTATAACTTCATGCTGGATTTTAATACGGGATACGCGAAGCTTGAAAATAAAAAGGAAGGGACACGCTGCCTGTTTCAAAAGAGCTATTTTCGCGGCACTCTTTATTCTTAACCGATTTAAAACGCGACCTGTGCTATCTGACACTCTATCCAACGCCAGGCAAAATTTACTAAATTCGTGTTGCTAAGTCGTGTTAAAATTACCGACTTATATTAAAATTAGAATTTTATCACGTACTTTTATATATCTGATAAATCAGTTATATTAATTCTATCACTGTTAGAATTTGTTATTTGAAGTTGTTGATGAACCAGGGTTTGAATTACGTGTTTGCAAAATTATTTGAACGGAGACTTATGTTTGAGAACAGTTATTTATCACGATGTACTCATTAATATGATATTATGATTGTATAATAATATACAATTCTCATAAGCTATACAATTAAAAGATTTTAATCTCCCAATTTCTGAACGACCAAAAATTTAAAACTTGCAAGGTTCTGCAAATCCAACCTGTGGATCGAGAGTAATATTTCGTAAATCCCGATGTAGAAGCAAATGGCTGGTGAACGCGTCTCACGAGCCGGCGATATCGTTGCGTTAAGTAGAATAGCCCCGTGGCTGGCGTAGGATGTCTGACAAATGCGGGCCTCATACTACTTACTCTACGAAGCTTTACTCCTGTCGCGTTTAAAGTGATACAAATGGAACGTCTCTTTTTTACGTTATTACCGGCCAGACATTTCTGCAGGATTGTGCAATAAATCAGCCGGAATATTTGTTGCTGGCCAAGTCATCCTTAATTAAGGAGAAAAAATGTGCGCGTGCACCGCGGACCGCGTAGCGTCTAGTTTTATCGTCGGTAATATGTTCCAAGCTTTTGAAAGTTCCTTATACGCCCGCGAGTGGTATGTCTTTATACCGGTGAAATCCTCCGTGGTTCCGTTTCGTGGAAGTCTGGTTCGATCGTCAAATTGCCGGAGCTGACAATTAAAAGGGAGGGGAACGAAGAGACGATGGACATCGAGAATAGCTTGGAAATTCTAGTCATTTATGAGGGTTTAAACGTTGCATCGAATTTCGGGCAACTCAGTGTTTCGGGTAAGCAAAATTCTCGAATTCAATAGTTGCAGAATTTCGAGTCGAGTAACACCGCTAAATCAGCTTTTTGCGAATCGGTTAAGTGAAGTATCCTCGGTTTGGTCGTTAACACTTTTAACACCGCGATAAAATAAATGTTTCTTTTTAGTAAATCTACTGTGACATTTTCATATTTGATGCTTTCTAATACGCTGAAAGTTATTTGTTTTACCTAAAAGACTTTTATAAATATTCAGAACACTTAAAGTGTTAACATAATTCTTTGAGACTCTTTGACGGAATAAAAATAATTCCACCAGCACGTTTGAATATCGTGTTAAAATATTGTGACAGCAAACAGCTTGGTTTTGAACAATTTTAATGCAAAAATATCACAATGTTTACATTACGGTGGATAAAATACATATAGCTTTGGTTTCTTTAATGAGATGCAAATTCAAAGGTAAACGAACGGTATTGGGATAAATTAGCAGCGTTTACCGAACAATATAGCACGAACGGACCAGTTTACGATCATTTATACGGTGATATATGTATGTAACGCCACGTTCCAACCGCAGAAAATTAATCGATCAACGTGGATATCATGGACCGCGGTTTAGTTTTGCCTCATTTTCAGAACATCGGTTTTCGGCGAAAAATATCGCGACCAAATTTGACAAGCATAACAGCATTGATGTTCCGACATCAAAATAATTCGCGTTGTCGTGTTGCTTTGGTAATTTCAAAGCAAACAAAATTAATTCACGATGTTAACAAATATTGATGTTTCTCAGGAAATTCATAAAAATTCAGTTTCAAATCAAATCTGTAAATTTATCAATTTTCAAGTCCCAAAATTTTCAGATTCCAAAATTCCCAAATTCTGAATTTGTTCCTAAATTTTCATTTCCTAAAATTCTCACACCAGAACCCTAAATTTCCATATCGTGAAATCCCCGAATCCCCAGATCGTCAGTCCCATAAATCTGCGAGCCTCAAAATCCTTAAATCTCCGAATCCCCGAATCTCCATATCTTCAAACAGCCAAATATTTCACGGCGTTAAAAGTGATAGTCGGTCGAAAAAGCATCGATGGAGCGCAAGATGTTAACGGGATTCGATTTGCAAGCTAATAGAATCGCAGTTTGAAAGTTTGAATGGCCGCTAACTACGCTTTTTCACTCGTCGCACGTTTCCTCGTCCTTATGGAAAAACATTGCGTAGACTCGCCGGTAAATTTCCTCCGACCAGTCGCGATTTCCTCGTAGCAGGCAGCGTAATGGCGTAATTTCCATACGTTCAAAGTTATCACCCACTTATCCGGTCGCCATACGAATAACCCCGTCGCAAATTGAAATATCATATTCAATTCAGGACCCCCGTCACACGAGCTATCGACCGTATCGCCGTTTCTGTATAAGATTTTGTTTGCTTTGTGACGCTTTCAGTC